AAGGATAAGTTTAAAGAAAATAGTTATGACTTAGTGGTCTAATATATGTTAACCTCTTAATGTAGCTATTAATAAACCTTTTAAAGATAATCTTAGAAAAGAATAGTATTTGTGAATAGCTAATAGTGATACTGATTATATTGCTAAAAATAATCTTTAATATGCTAAGCTTAGGGATATATGCGAATAGGTAAATGATTATAAGAGCAAATTTCTGACGAAATAATTATAAATTCTTTTAAATCTTGTTATATATCTAATTCATTAGATGATTTAAGTATTAGTAATGGTAATTCTGATAAAGAAAATATTAGCGATATTGAGTAAGTAATATAGCTTATTTTTTTCTTTTTATTTATAAATATAATAATAAAATTTAATATAATATTTGAAGAATGCTTAATTTTAAAGGATATATAAATATGGGAGTACTTATTTTTGAGGGATGCTTATTTTTGAGAGTATACAGTAACTATTATTATTATAATTTTCATCATAAATATCATTATTAATATCTAAAATTTCTAATTCTTTATTATTATTATCTAAATTACTTAATAATTCTATTATATTATAACTTATAAAAGAATTAATAATAGTTTCATCAGATATGTTATTTTAAGAATATTTATATAATTATAAATATTACTATACTTAGCACATTAAGATTTTTAACAACTATTTTTTAATATTTTCATCTACTATTTATAAATGCTATTTTTGTAAATATTATCTTTAAAATGATTAAATAAAACTTAGAAGTTTTTGCAAATAATTTAAATAGAAAAAAATAAAATTTATTGAAATTATATTAAAATCTTATTAAAAAATCTGTGAAATTCTAAAAAAGTAAAACTATATTAAAACTTTAATAAAAAATTAGCAAAACTAAAATTTAAATGTTTTGCTAAATCTAAAATAAGTTTAGATAAGCAATTTTAATTATCTTTAAATAACTTATTAATACTAATATTAAGTGATTGATTAATATTAATTAAACTACTTAAAATAACTGTTAAGCTGATATTACTATTCTAAATATTTTTAATAGATTCTTCTAAATGTTTCTTTAAATAAATCATAAACAAGTATTATTAAAGCTTTAAATTAATTATTATTAAAGTAATTGATTTATTTTATCATTTAATTTAGTATTAAAATTAAAATACTATACTATATAAAATTTGTTTATTGTATCTTATTTTTTTTAAAAAAAAATACATATAAATAATAGTTTAGTTCTATCTATAAAAATAAATAAAAGTATTAGAATAATTTAATTTAATTAATAATTCTATTAGTAATATAAATTATAATAATAGTAAAATAATTTTTTTTATTATTAGTCTTTTAAATATAAAAAGTTTTGTTATCTACTTGCTTAATACTAAAATTATTAGTTATATAAAACTATATTAAAGTTTCATTTATATTAAAAATATAGCATATTTATAGGAATTTTTAGAGTTAGACAGATAGTAATATAAATTACCAACTACTATGAGCGAATTTTGTTTTTATTTTTCAACAAAAATAAATAATAAATTGATAAAATTTTTTAATTATTCCTTAATTTATTATGAAGTTTTTATGTAATTTTTTTACATTTTTATAAAGTAGCTTTTTATCTTTTTATGAATATATATAATTAATAAAGTGATAATTTAAAATTATTTGTTATATTATTATAAAGAATTATAATATCCAATTATTTTAAATTCTTTAATATTTTAATCTATAAAATAATATAAATGATTACTGTTAATATGCAATTTTGTTAAATTGTGACTATTAGACAAGGTGTTTAAATGGTAATTCTTTTAAAATTTACGTAACAAATCTCAGTAACTTAATAGTTCTTTTATATATTATAAAGTATATTTATATCTTATTGATTAAGTTTTTAGTTGATTAAATTTTTTTATATATTATAAAAATACATTTATATTTCAGTTGGTTAAGTTTTTTTATATATTAGAAATTATATTTACATTTCAGTTGATTAGATTCTTTTATATATTAGAAAATATATTTATACCTCAATTAATTAGATTACTCAAAAGGTTTACATAAAAGTTATAAGTTATATTAAATAGCTTATTAATAAAATTTACAATAAAATAATATAAGAAATTAGAAAAAAAGATTAAATATATAGTTAACTAAAGTTACGTATGTTCTATCAGTGAACTGATCAAGTTACATCTAGTAACTAATAGTTACTTTCTTATTAAGAATTTAGTTTCCTTAATATATTTTTAATGTAAAGTTAATATATCATATATATTAGGTATATCTGATATATCAAATATATTAGATATGTCAAACATATTGGATATATTAAATATGTTTTACATGTTTGACATTTTGATTTACACTTTCATAAATTAAATATATCTATTAAGTTGATCATTTTAATTATGTCACTTATATAACTATTTACAATATATTATATAGATTAATTAAGTTATAATAGTCCTGTTACATTACTAACTTTTACTTTCTTTATTTAATTAATTTTAGACAAAATGTCTTTTATTTAGAACTAATTTTTTACTATTTTTTTTTTACTTTTTCATTTTATACTTATTTTAATTTAGTATTTAAGTATACTTTAATCAAGTTTAAAATAAATTGCTATATTAATTTTTTCATAATCTTTTGTATAATTAACAATTTTCTTTTTATTAAATAAAATATAAGAATTAAAATATTTTAAAATTTTATAATTTAAGAAAATTTTATATTTATTAATTTATTTATATTTAATATTTTATAACATTATGTATTTTATTAATTGAACTAAATAAAAAATAAAATGTTTTACAGATTAATCATTTAAATATTACATTATATTTATAATAATTTACAAATTATTTTACAAAAGATTACATTTTTTAAAATCCAATTTTTTAATTTTATAATATACTGTACTTAAAAATACAGTAAGTACTTTATAGCAAAAAGTAATACTTATTTTTAAAAACATGATAATTTTATGAAAAAGTTAGATTAATAATAATAAATCTGATAAAAATTATTTAATAATACAGTTAACACTTAATATAGCAAATTCTTAATATAATAAATCTTTTGAATTAATATAATAAAAATACTCTTGTTATAGTGAATTGACTAATTAAATCTCTTAAAATTTCCACTATAACCTTATAGCAAAATTGAGATCTAGAACATAAAGTTCATTATAACAAGAGTTGATTATATTAATGTAGAAGCCTTAATAACTTTAAAATATAGTTACATTTAAAAATGGTCTTCATAATTACTTTTAAATTTAATTGAATTATAATTTAATTATGTTATAAGTAAATTTATTTATATTATAAATTGCAATTTAATTATATTTTAATTATAATACTTATTTTTAATTGCAATATTTAAAATATAGGGAAGTGAATAAATAAATAAAAATTTTAAAAATATGCAGCAAAAACTTTTTGAAAATAAATATAATAAATTTTTTTATAGCAATTAATATATAAAGAATATAAATTTATGTATTAATAATATAAAAAAATTTACATTTTAAATTAATAATTTGAATAAAAACCTTTATTATCTTTATTGTTTAATAATTTTTTTTGTAATAATAATTCAAAACTTTCATATAATCATAATTTATATAATTTATATAAAAATTGACTATATATAAAGAAATCTCTCTATAGTTAGTTATATTTAAAATTAGCATACTAAAGTGTATGTTTGATTGCTTAATTATAGATGTATGATTATATAAAATTCTAATTAATTAAATTAATTATTAAAAATTTTGAATAAAAATACAATAATTTTATAATTAAAATTATTATAATAATAAATAATATAATTAAAAATTAAGAATAAATTCAATTTATTTATTTTATAATAAAATTTATTTTTTAAAATATAGGAATTTGTAAGCAAACTTGTTTATTTTTATATTATAAATTTCTTTTATAATTTATTATTATAAAAAAAATTTTTTTAAATTAATTTTATAAATATATATTATATTATAATAATTTTTATTTTTAATTAATAATAATAAATTTAAATTTATTTATAACTAATGTTATATTATTAACTTTTAATTATAATTTAATTAAAGTTGATTAAATATATATATATTAAACTATATCTTTTATAATAATTATATTACTTAAATTAAAATTTTATGTTTTATTAAAAAAAAATAATTTTTAAGTCTACAAATTTACTTGCTAAATAATCTAAGAGTGTTTCAATTTATTTTTTTTTCTTATTATTTAATCTTTATAAATAATTTTTAAATAAATAATTATAATTTATTTTATTATAATTAAATTATACTTATAATATTTTTAAAAAACAGTTCTATTCTTTTTTCATTTTTTTTTTTAAAAAAAAAGATAAAAAGTTAAAAATTCTAACCATTTCTTTTTTTCGAACTTTTGATATTGAATCTCAATAGAAACTAAATTTGATAAAGGATAAAAGATTGAAATTATTTTTTTCTAAAAAAATTTATTCTTGATTATTAAATAGGTTCCATTTTGTTTATGATTGTTTGGGTCTATGGTCATCACCCCTTCAGTATGATAATAGATTCAGAGCGAGGTTTTACTTGAACACCATAAATTTATTCTTGAACACTGTCTGGCTCATTCAACTACATAATAAAAAAGAACGAGAATTTAAATGTTCTAATTGTTTGTGAGACGAAGAAACATTTTTATGGTTCACAAGACACGAATTTATGATTTCTGCCTAAATTATGGGATGATTTACACGTAGTTGCTGCGGCAATTAAAAATATGAAGCCGAGGCGAATAAGGTTAGGACTTGTCTGTATTGGTAGAAATACTGCGACCGAGGTCAAAATACTTTTTGGCCGGTGACAAATAACGCATTACTATATTATCAAGCATTTTTTGCCTAGCTGAATTCCAAAAAAGTCAATAGATTTGCAATTTATTCAAATATAAACAATATAAAATTAATTAAAGTTTTATTTAGCAATGGCTTCACCTCACCTTTGGACACCTGCTCTTGAACCACGAACTATTATAAATCCCTGGTATAGACATGCTATAATTAATGAGACAATCGCTTTGGACAGAGAAGAGGAAGAATATGAAGCACAGGTATTTAAAACTTATAATAAATTGGTCAAAAAGAAAAAAATTAACGCAAGTTAATTTTATTAAAAGTTACATTCGATAAGAATTAAAGGTAAAAAAGCTCCTATTATTGGAAAATATAAAATGAGACAAAATAATTCGGTATGTTATTTAAGTGTTATTTCCGGTTCAAGAGCATTGTAACTAGCGTTTCATGGTTATTTATTTTATCTTTAGGATGACGAATCACCATTAATTGCCGAAGAAGATGATGATTCGGAATATGATGAAGCAGATGATGATGAGGAGGAGGAGGATGATGACGAAGAAGAAGAAGAAGAAGAAGACCTTGACGATGATATTGAAGAATTGGATGATGAAATAGATGATGACTCGGCAATTCTTGGAGAAATTTTAGACACATCAGAAGAATTGTTACCTACAACACCTCCAGGAGAATCTTCTAGGGCCATGGATGTTTCTGAATTTGAAGTGTTGGGCACTGAAGGCACTGAAGAATATGGTCAAAATTATGAATTTTAATTGGTAAGTATCAAGTATTTAATGAATATATGATAAGGGTTTTCTTATTGGTAACTTTTTTTCTCATCATTCATAAGTATTTTGGTAAAAATATATTTTTTTACAATCAATTCGCTTATGTAATACGTGCATTATTCACGTGACCGTTAGAACATTATTGTCACTTTGCAAGTTCAATCAGGAAGGTTAAAGTAGGAGCGAAAGAAATCCACGAACATGCATCTGGGTTATTCCGATAAATATAAAATGACATGTTTAATATAATTAATAGCAAATTAATTTGTATTATTGAAATTACCTAATTCATCGTTATTCCATATCAAGACCTATTTCAATATTAAATCATATATTAAAGTTATGTTTTATCCGGAATATCATCAGCAGTTACTATACATGTTTCAGGGATTAAGGATAAATATTACTAATACGGTGAAATCAATTGCCTCATTAGCTGGATTAGAAACAGATGATGATACAGTTTGGGACATTGAATTATTCGAGTATTCGTTTCGGATGTAGTTAATAGCTCAATTGCGTAAAATGGTAGTGGATCAAAATCTATAAATGAACCCGTTGCAATGAGGTAAAGGATTGATTAATTTCGCTTCATTATTTCCGTTTGTGGGTGAATTGGTTACATATATCAGTGATTCTTTGGCAATTTGACAAGTTTAATGTGTTTTTTGTTCAACGGATGACCTCAGCGAAACAAAAGATTATGATTCACCAACTTCCCACCAACACTTTTTCCTGGTAGGATTGAATATCGCCATCAAATATAATAATGGCACCATTAGTTAAAGCACCAACTTTAAATAATATCTACAGTTCTAACTAAAACGCATTTGATCTAATGATATTTTAATATTTTTAGCATCATTTTTGATAGATAAGGTCCAGGTGCAATGTAATTGTTAATCTGCTTTGGATGTATATGTTTCTGTATGGTATATAAACTATCAACTAATTTAATTACTCCTGCTAATATCTTAGCAATTTAATTGAAGCATTCTTTATTTGTCACTCAATTAAAATGTAGTAAACATTTTTCAAGTATTTAATTTAATCCATTCAAGTTAACCTCCTACTCAATATCCCTATCTAATCAATACTTCACCTATAAACAAACTTTTTAACTGTTAATATTATATTGTCAATATTAAATTTATATTAGATGTTCTGAATCATTATTGTAAAGCTGTTTTCAATCACTTTAAATAAAAGATTTAATATTTCTAAGTTTTAAATTTTTTTTTCTTTTAATATTATTCCTTATACTTTGGCGCCAATTAATTTTGATTATGTCAACATTAATTACGCCAATTCAACATTTATTATAAATAATTACGTCTATCAAAATACAATATAATTAGTAATTCGTCAATTCGCGCCGAATTATATAATTCCTACCTACAAATTACACTTTGATCGGATGAAAGGATAGATCTGTGAAAATCCGGATGATTCGTAAATCCGGATTTGACTTGGACGATCCGGATTATTTTGTCACTTGTGATTTCACATGTCGTTGTTCAGGCTAAAAGTCACATGACATGACTGCTTAAATTTCTTTACATCTGTTATGCAAATTCTTTGATTGTAATTGGAATGATGTTTTTGAGTTCATCAAAGTAATCGTTATATGAACTCATTATCGATTTATTAATTATAAATTGAATCCTTCGCTTTTTTTTTTTTTTTTTTTTATCCTAATTTTATAGATCGGTATTATCATTCTTTAACCAATTCTCTTGACACCAAATTGCTTGATTTATCTTCTCTTCTTTGTTGATAAAAGTTCTCAATTTGATTTTCAAACATGGCAGCAAATCTTGCGGCCACAAAGAAAAAATCACTCAATCTATTAAAATAAATATAAATTGTGATTAAAACTTATATCATTTGAGTAAAATTGAAAAAATTTTTTTTAATTTTATTACATGCCTGTTTAAATATTTTCCTACAGTCGCTTCTACAGTTCCAGCTTCTAACAAAGGTACGGTTACACGTTCAGCCCTGCGACATACCTAATAGATGAAAAAAAAATTATATAAACAAAAAGTTCTTTAACCTTAATTTGGAATGTTTACAGAATAATTATGATAAATTTACTGAGCGACACTGGTGCAAAAACACGGAACTTTCTCCACCGGAAGGAAGGATGAAATGTTTCAAAGGAGGTAGTTGCTAATAAAAGAAAAGGGGACGCGTAATTAAAAGTATAAGGTAATAAATAATCAATTATAAACATAATGACGCGTATTAAAGCTTATAATTACGGCATCCAAAGTATCAATCCAAGATTCCAAGACTTTGACGTTTTCTTCATCGAACGTAGTAATCGCTAATTTAAAATAAGATGTAATTAATATATAAAGATTTTTTTGGAATAAATAAATGAATCTCCTTTTCATACATAATTTTGACGCGTGCGAGGAACTTCTTGGAGTGGCGATATTGGATCCTACCTCAATCAATTTACACTGAATCTATTTGTTTTTAAAAAGTAAAAATTAAATTTTTTTCAAGAGATTATTTTAAAATACCAATTAATTATCTTAATGATCCTACTTCAATTAATTTGCTTTCTAACCCATTATCAACTTTCTTACAATAATGGTTTGCTATCCTATAATTATAGAATAATAAACGTTCAAAAGTTGAATGTTTTGGTAAATGGTTGGAATACTTCCTACTTTGTTTCCTTACCCTATACATGAACTCAATTCATCAACGGTTCCCAATGCGTTAAAAATATCATCATTTTTAATTCTTCGCTCTCCATTATAAAGCATCGACGTGCCTATCAAAATATTATATATATATATATATAATTCGAACTAGTTTAATTGAAATTTAAAAATAGTAATTATTCAACAAAACCTTTGTCCCCGGTTCTGGTATAGACGTTCGATTTTTTCGGTTTGGTGCTGCAAATTTTCAATAAAGTTGGACGTTAAAAAAAAAGAAATAAACGCCAAATTTTAGTACTTTTGAGTAATGCTATGAAGAATCACTTTTCTGACCTTTGGCAACCAACCAACCTTCGTTGGTTTGTTAAGAACGCAAGCTTATTGCCGTTTAAACAAAAACATGTCGGTTTAGGCAAGACCAACGAAGTCTGATTGGTTGTCAATACTCGACGAATACACCAAACGAGTCTATGAGACATACTTGTTATCGTCCGTCATTTAATATCACAGAGAAATAAAATTTTGAAAGATTGATATATGATCTACATTGAACTTCACATGTTGGCTATTACTTAATCAGGAGATACAACTAGAAAACGCGAATTTTTTATAGGGTCTCCTAAAACCTGTTTCACCGAATTTTCATTTCATTCATTTCATTCATGTCTAAGACGTTTAGAAGAAATCTTTCGCAATTATTAACTAGTAATAGGCAGTTTTCTAAACCAAAATGCTTTATTGTTTACACACCGGTTTCGACTCGAAAATATTATAGGTGAATATCTTTTATTTTTTTTAAATATGTGGAACCTATGATTAATATGTAAATTGAATAAAGTACAGAACAAACACAATCACCAAATTCTCCGCCCTCACCGTCAAATTATTCTACAATTGACAAATCCGAAGTTTCAAAATTCAGCCAATTAGCTAACGAATGGTGGTCTCCAAATGGGCCTGTAAAATTACTTCATAGTATGAATCCATTAAGAATATCATACATTCGTGAGCAATTAGGAAAGAATACTTTCGGGGTTGGTGATAATGATGTCAAAGATAATCCATATGGTAAAGCGTCTCAGTCACCACTGGTTTCACATCACCACCTTCCGTTTAAAGGATTAAGAATTTTGGATATAGGATGCGGTGGTGGTGTCTTAACTGAGGTATGTTTACTTATTTCATAATGATTTTATTTTTTTTTTTATTTATTTTAATTATTTATTAGGCATTAGTGAGGCTAGGCGGCTCGGCTATTGGAGCAGACGCGTCAGATGAAAACATCAAAATCGCACAATTACATGCACGAAAAGATCCAAGTTTACACATTGGACCCGGTAGTTTAGAATATCGATGTATAACGGCTGGTATTATCTTATAACAAATTTCTGTAAAAAATTTTTTTTCCTTAAATATAAATTTTTAAACAATTTATTAATCTTTTTTTGTAATGCAGAAAAGTTATTAGAACAAGGAGAGACATTCGATGTTGTTTGTGCGATGGAAATTATTGAACACGTAATTAACCCTGCGGAATTTCTTAAGGCTTGCGCAGGATTAGTGAAGGTGAGATCATGTGATATTTTTTTCTTTTTTTAAAAAAATGGATTCTTGTTTTTCGTGAGAATTTTTTTTTTTTTTTTTTTTAACACAATTTCTTTATAAAAAGCCTGAAGGCGGGCATTTGTTTCTTTCAACAATTTCTCGGACACCTTTATCATATTTCTTGACAATCTTATTAGCAGAAAATCTATTTAAATTGGTACCACAGGGAACGCATGATTTTCAAAAATATTTAAGGCCTGATGAGTTGCAAAATGTAATTGAAAATGAAGACAAATATGCTAAAGTTAAAGATATAACAGGAATTGGACTTAATCCTATAACTGGAACATGGTATAAATTACCAAATTGGATGCCTGGAAGTTCGGACGTAAATTATTTATTAACGGCGCAGAGGTTTTAAAACGTCTCGTTTTAAAAAGAATTGGGAAGATGCGGTAAAGTACTGAAACTTATTATGTTGTACAAATTAGCATTAACTAAATATGGACAAGAAATAGATTATTATTATCAATAAATATTTGTTTTTTTTTTTTATCAGATTACAAATATTGGTTTTAAAGAAACAATATATTCCGAATTTGGGTTCTACAATTATTCAATAATTAACGAAATATTATTGGGCAATTTTTCACCACGTGTACATTTATTTAGTAATCATTCATTTGAAAATAAAATTTTTATTTTACCATTTTTTTCCTTATAAACAAGAAATATAAATGCATAAAGGAAATGAGAAAAAGGAGGCAGTAATATCTTAAAATAAGGTTAAAAACGCGTCAATCGATAAAAGATTCAGATTAAATAATTTGCCATTCTATAATAATCATAAAGATCTTACATATCTTAACAACCAAAACAGCATACTACTTAACGATATATAAACTATATATAAAATACAGTGATGAAAAGAAAAAAAAAGTCATATATATATAACAAAAAATTTAACATTTACAATCAAATGAAAATGATAAATGATAATAATGAATAAATACAAATGATAAATTTATACAAAAAAAACCTGATGATTTGTGATTTGAAAAAAATTTTTTTTAAAAATTTCTTTATTTTAGGTATGGGAAAGGAATATAAATGTAGAGGAAATGATTGGAATAATCAAAGTCTGTAGAAATAAAATAAAATAAAATAAATAAACGCAATCGAATGACTAAAGAATGAAATAACGCACGAAATAAATAACAAAATCCTATTGAAGGAATACAATCAAAAAAAAATTCCAAAAATAAATAATAACCAAAACTACTAATAAACCAATCAATCCCCACAAGCAAACCTCTACCATGGGCTTATGTGCTTTTGTTAGCAAAACAGAAATCTTAGATGTTGTTGATTAATAAGGGAACTTTTTTAGGGTTGGTTTTTTTCCGATTTCTTTTTTTTTGTTTTTTTTTTTTTTTTTTGTTTTTTAAAAAAAAGTTATCAAATAAAAAATAAAAAATTATGAAAAAATATTTTATTAATTTATTCTTTTTTTTTTTTTTTTCTGTTTTGCTATTTGTAAATAAGATGTAAACTATTTGAATTTGAAAAGGAATAATTACTAATTAAATAATATTTTTTTTTTTTTTTTTTTTTGTTTTTTTTTTTATCGAAATTCGAATGATGGGAAAGAATTATCTGCACAATGATGTAACTTTAATTCTTGAAATCTATATACGAGAAATATATTTATTAGTTATACGTACTAATTAGAAATCAAAATCAAATCATTAAATCAAAATCACTTAATTCAATTCATTTTTGTTTATTATGATCGAAATTAAAATTAAAAAAAAAAACTTACCGTTCCGAAGTTTTATGGAAATAGAATCCTGTAATCATCCCTGTACTTAATTGGTAGCAAATATAGTAGAATCCAGCAAAACTAGCACCATTAATGGTTCTAACCCGATGATCAGGTACAAGAAAATGTTCTTTCCATCTCATAAAAATGAAATCTTTATTATGAAAGTCATAAACAAAACCATCCTTTTTCATATGTTTTTGAAGGGGACGAAAAGCCTGGAAACGAATCTGTAAGAATCCCATTCAAATCAAGTATAATAAAAATTAGTAAGTTGATCTTTATATAATCACAAAAGGAAACGTATAAATTTTCAATAATCATACCCAGTGTTGCACGTCTACTTTGTCATCGGCATCCCATTTCTTGGTTAGAAATGAATATTTTCTCCCAATAATTTCTGCCTCAAAAAATGTGGTCAACTCGGGATAATCTTCAGTGAGCCCTTTAATATGAAGATATCCACATAAAAATGACTCTGAAAGATCTACATGCTACAAATTTTTTTTTAAAAAAAAAAGTTTTTTCATGAGTAAAAAGGCAATAGATCCATTGTGATCAGAACCCGATCGCCGAGATGGAAAAAAAAAAAATCCCTCAATAATAATAATTAAGAAACTCAATGTCGCCATATTTTGATTTTCCTGAACGATTGATTTGTCTTTATGCATAATCCATTTAAGCCTGATCTAAATCATCCATTTATTTTACATTGACAACCCTTGTAGAATTTAAAATGCCTTCTTGTCTCACCTGAATATGAACAGCAACATCGTAACTACTTCTACCACTTCTTTGTTCACCTCTGAATTTCGAACCAGAGTAAAGTGAACAAGTTGTGGTAGGCATTAATCTAACTGACGAAATCTCAGTTGTAAGAGAAAGACGACGTTTCCTTTTTTGCAGCAGCTGTTTTTGTCTTAATTGTTCTTGATGTTTTTTTTGCTGTTCAGCATAGTGTTTGTGAGAAGGGTCCTGACAAACTCCATCGACGCACATACATTTGTCCGGCAAACTACTAATGTTACCGTTGATGGGGGTTGTTGCGGGAATAACGGGGTTTGAGAATACAGGCATTGTGGTTGTTTGGAGTCGAAAGGATTAAAACGTGTAAACCTATAAAGTAAAGACTAAAAGGAATAAGGGGTGAAAAGTAAATGTTGTGGATGTATTGGGTTTTGATGTAGATGTAAGTGGCCGGCTCAAAGTGGCGAAGTCTTTTTTTTTTTTTTTTATGCCGAAAATTTTTTTTGGAGTACAGAAGTTAATTTAATATCTACTATATATATTACTTTATAAAGTATAGCTAGTGTGTGGGGTAAGTATTGTAACGAATAAAAAAGGTCAGCGAAAATATGGGAAAAAGATATATATACTAAAAAAAAAAAAAAAACTTACTAGTTTATTATATATATAAGTTTTTTTTTTAAAAAAAAAAAAAAAAAAAAAAGTGATTAATATTATAGAGATCACTAAAATGTTATGGAACGGAACGATTTTATATAACGGTCGTAATGTTTATTTATTATGTTTGCGTTTGTAAGATTTGATTTTTTTTTTTTTTTGGAAAAAAAAAAAAACAAACGGCAAAAAACAAATATCTATGATAAACAAAGCAAAAGTTTTATTTTATGTATATAATTAAAGATTTTTGTCTATGATTAATAAAAACTGAGAAAGGGATATGTGAGAGGGAGAAAGGATAGAAAATGGGGTTATTATTAAAAAAGGAAGAAATAATAATTAAGGCAAGAAATACGAAAAAAAAAAAAAAAAAAAAGAAAAAAAAAATTTTTTTTTCGGGCGATGGTATTCGGTACTAATATTAGAGAACAATGATTTGCATTTATTTAAACTGATGATGATAATCATGTGATTATCCTTATTTCCTCAAATAGTTGAGGCGGGTGCGGCTCGAGTCGAGGGGAGCTTAATGAAAAATATTGATAATCACATAATTGTAAAGTATTATGTTGAAATTTCAAAAAATATAATGACAATTATTGTACATTGTTGTCATTCAACCTTGTTAAAGTGTTGTTAATAATCTTGAATAATTGAAAAGATGAACTTTAAAGTTCGGTACAACGTCGCAATAATTAGCCAAACATCGATCTTTGATCACCAATAATACGTATAAAACAACGAAGCTTACATGATGCTGCGCTTAATTATTAGCTCCCTAGCGTGCTTCCATGGATTCGGATAAGCTTATCTAATTTGCAGGCGTAGTTTGGCAATAATATGGCGTAGCATTCCCTACAGTTCCAAAAGGTGGAATTCATATGAAAAAAAAAAAAAACGATATTTAATTATTTACGCCAAATTCCAACATCATGAGTATATACATAACAATAGTGATATAAATTTGTTCTAACCAAAACAAGAATTATTATGATTGAAAAAACTGTGCGGTTAAATATCAGAAGATAACTATGGTTTCATTAATTTATTTTAGTCTCCCATTTCAAGGGTGGATATTCAGGAAAGCACGCTCCAGCTTCATCTAACTGCAATTCTTCTTTCTCATATTTTCCCGACATTGAATTACTCGTTCATTTTGTTCTATCAAATTTGGTGCCAATTCCTATGCTTCTATAACGAATCGTGTTCTGTTCTGACATTCATTATCAAACCAATCGTGTAAACGCAATCGGAAGGTTGGGAAAGAAAATAGATGGGATAATGTCATTATATAGTATTGAGAAGGCTTTGCACCTTTTAGCCAAACGTGAAAAGGGAGAGGGTTGCCTAAAAATTATTCTGTAATTGTAGTTCATAAAAAGTTCTAACCCACGACTCCTTTAACAGCTGTTTTACAAGATTAACAGTGAGGTCTTACTTTGCTAATACATTCGATTAATTAATATTCGTGATGATGGTCAATATATCTATCCAAAAGAGTTCATTATAACTATCAATAATTGGTGTTATGGTATGGTACTTAAAATAAAATACTGGATGTTAGCGGTTATAATAAGACAAATGCAACCAAGGTTTATTCAAGAAGTAAACTTGGAATGTAACAATGATTTTTCTTTTCTAATTCAAACGTTCAAACTTAAGTGGACTGAACACGTATTTTTTAATTTACAAGTTTGCCATTTTGAACTGTGATTGGTTATAATTTCACGTGAACTCTTAAATAAATTTGTATTATTAAAGATATTAGACCATGTTCTATTACGAATTGCACACATACGAATATTAAGTTTCGTATTATTACAAATGCAAATATTATCTGTTATAAATATCTTCTTATCTTAAAGTAAGAAAATAACTTTGTCACCCACATTATTGTAGTATTAACGAAGATAAAAAAAAGAAAAGTATTAGATTTGATAGAATCTAATAATAATATGGGTTAGAACAATAGTATTATTAGTTAGTAAACATAAAATTAAATTAAAATCAATGCTAATACCAATATTAACATCAATATCAGCACTAATTTCACATTTTCTTCAAAGATATACATTAGCAAAAGTATTATATCACCAGTAATGTCAAAAGCATGCAAGTTTAGAATTTGATAAAATGCCAATTCTCAACTTAAGGCTATTTTAATGCTATGATAAATTTAATCATTTTTTAAATAA